CATCAGGCAAGTTACTGGTGTAATTCCTCACATGAAAATTGTGATGACATGAAATCTGAAGGAAATACTTCTGACACTGAGACAGCAATAGAGAACGGATGCAAAATTAAACACTGGCTATAATTTTATATAGCTATAATTTAATACTGTATCTTAATGTATGTTTATATTGCTCTTGATGGAAAGTTTGAAATTAAGCTAGTAAATCTTTATGGAAATAAAAGAGAAAATAAACTACTATATATATATATATATATATATATATATATATATATATATCACACTAGATGTTTTCCTAAGTTTTTAAATATTTCCTAGCTATCTTTTTTTCAAATTGCCACAAATCTTGAAAAAGAAATTCTCGCAGAATTGTCTCATCCCAGTTCTATTTGAACACCGACAACCCTCCATGCTTTCCATGTCTTCAACTCCTTTCATTATAAACAACAAAGTCTATTCCTTGTTTAAAATCTTCTCAAACAGTTTGTACTTTTTCATCCTTTACAAATATTTCCCCATGTTTGGCTTGAAACAATTTACTTTGGTGTAAGTTTAGTTCACAAATTGTTACGCTGTAGAAAACATTAGCATAAGTTCTGAAATTTCCATTTGAATCTTGGGAAAACACAATTACCCAGTGAAACGTCCTTTCACAGGTACTCTCCATGGTTACTTAAATTCTATTGTCACCTAATACCAATAAGACATTGTGGAAAAACAGTTTTATATTTTCCATTCCCCTTTTGGATTTTGTCCTTTCACTGGGTCCTTGCCTTGTTTTTAAAATTCATACTGAATTGAAGACTCATTTCATATGACATGTTTATGCTATTTTCTGTATCTGAGGAAACTAAGTCCTTCATTTCATTTCTCAGAGAGTATGGTTGATGATTTTAATACAGAAATTATGCTAAATTGAGAGAAACTGTGTGCTTAAGTCTCTAAAGCTAAAAATCTTGAGTTATCTCCGGGCTTCTCATTAGCTCTCTCCTGAGCTTCCCAGTGGATTTCCGTCTAGCTTCTACACTCAGGTTCAGGAATGCCCTCAGCTCCTAAGAGGGGCAGAAGCCATCTTTGATCTAAGACTTTTTCTCCCTCCAGAATTTTCCCTGGTGATTTTTACCTCAGCAGATCTTCACTTCCGTCAACAGATTTTTTCATCTGTATTTCATCTATATTTTATGTATTTTATTTATATTTTATGGTAGAGAGAAATGCTGACTGGCTGCTAACTGCTGTTTCCCCAATCAAAAGTAAAAGTCACTAACTTAAAAGCTACGAACAGATATATAAATTAACCATACACAAGGAAATCATATTCTTTCCTAGTTAAAACAGTATTTTATATAGTCAATATTTGTCTAAATTTAACCATAGTCACAATGTTTCACAAACTTTATTATTATAATTTTGTACTTCCTCCTGGGATTAACTTCATTTCATATATGTGTGTGTATGTGTATATGAAAATAATACAACCAGTATAAATATGAAAATATACATAACAAGTATGAAGATATGCATAACACATGTGAAGATATGTATGATGATGTATGAATATATGCATGACAATTAAATGAAACTATACATTGCACATATAAAGATATGCTTGACAATCACATGAAAATACACATGGCACATATGGAATACGCCTAGCACACATATGAAAATGTGTATAAAACATGGGAAGATATACATATTACATATGAAGACATATGTGATATGAAAACGAGTACAATGACCATGTGAAATATGCAAAATACATATAAAAATATGCAAAACACCTATTGAAATGTGTATAATGTATGTAAAAATTTACATAACACATCTGAAGACATGCAGGACATTCAAGTGAAAAGTATACTGGATACATATGAAAACTGAAAACGTGTAACAAACAGAAAAATAAAGTTCTTATATAAAAACATTCATAACTCATGAAAATGTGCATAACATACATGAAGACATATATGGGAATCACATGAAAATATAAATAACACAATATGAAAATATGCATAGCACCTGGGAAGGTATACACAGAAGATACATGAAAACAAAGAGAACACACATGAGGATTTTCATGGTGGTACATATGAAGGTATACATAGCACACTTGTAAGTCTACACATATCCACGGTCTTCTTCAGAGCAGTGACTTTTAAACACAGTTAAGCGACTATGTCTCCTGTTGGGAAGTCAACTGTGATCCTAGGTGCTAATCATTTTCCAAGTGGAAATCGAGATGAAAAATAAGCAACTGTTAAAAAAAAAAAAAAAAAGTGGATATCAAGTACCAACTGTTTCTCCTAAGCCAGGAAAATCTCTAGCTCAGACTCACGCCCAGCACTGTTTGCTTGTGCCCTTTATCTGAGAGCTTTGCTATTCATTAGCAGCATGGAGATTGTGCAGCCCAGCTTCTCGCTTCTGTGAGGCCAGGCCTAATGATGCTGTCCCTTAAAGTGCAGCCTAATCTGTGTTAATAGAGTGCAGACTTTTATGGAAGCTGTAATAACCACACAGAAATTGATACTGATTTGAATCGGTACCCGGCTTGTTAATTGTAAAGCTTTTTCCATAAAAAAGAAATTATTTAACAACTGAATTTTGCCCATTATGGAGTTTTATTAAAAAGCGAGTTGAGTGCTCCCCTGGTACCTTGAGCAGGGCATAAGCATCTCTTGCCTGTGGGAGAATTCTATCCATGCTCAGAACTTACAATCAGGGGAGCTGGGAGCTCCAGATGCAGCTCACTTTTCCCTCTGTATTTTATATTTTTGAATAGGGATTTGAAGTATTTTGGATAGGGATAGAGCAGCTTCTTGGAGAATTGGACCAGAAGAACTAAACATCTTCTTGTCCACACACAAGACTGATGAAAAAATTAGGACCCTGTTCCATTAGCTTGAATGTCTTCATCCTGGCTTAGTATGGAGTTAATGGTAGAATTTGTTATTCCATTACTCATTCCTTTTGAATGACTTCAGCCAAAAAGTTCACTGACAAAACATTGCCCCCTAGTGTTAAGGTTTTACTAGCACCATCAGAAAAATACAATCCATTAAAGACAAGCCGTGGGGAATCAGAAAAGTTTACCATGGAGGAGTGTGTTGAATTTTGTCAAAGGCCTTTTCAGCATCTAATGAGATGATGGTGTGTGCTTTTTCTTTCTTTCAGTTTGTCAATATGGTGGATTACATTGATAGAGTTTCATATGCTGAACATACTTGGATCTCTGGAATGAAGCCACTTGAACATGGTGGGTGATCATTTGATGTGTTCTTGGGTTCAGTTTACCAGTAGATTGTTGAATATTTTTTCCCTAATGTTCATGAGGGAGATAGGTCTATGATTCTCTTTCTTTGTTGAGTTTGTGTGTGAGTTGGGTACCAGGGTGACCAGGGTCTCATAAAAAGAATTTGGCAATGTTCCTTCTGTTTTTATTGTGGGGAAAATTTTGAGGAGTATCTATATTAACTCTTCTTTTAAAGTCTGGTAGCATTCTTCCAGACTTTAAGTCTTCACCAAAACCATATAGCCCAGGGCTTTATTTTTTTTTTTTTTGGTTAGGAGACTTTTAATGACTGCTTCTATTTCCTTGTGGGTTATAGGTCTGTAACTCGAGTTCTGATAGGTCTTAATAACAAAAGCCAGGATCAGATATAGGGGTAAAATCTGAAAGGTCATAGAGAGGAAGGAACAAGACACAGCCATGCTACACCTTACCTCACCAACTTCCTAGCTAAGAAGAGAGTGAGTTTCTGTTTCCTCTCACCTATATTCCTTTTCCGCCCAGCCATCTCACTTCCTGTCTCCACCTCCCTAGTGCTGGGATTAAAGGCGTGTACCACCATTGCCTGGCTTCTATGGTTAGCTAGCGGCAAGCTCCAACCTCAGATCTTCAGACAAGCTTATTTGTACAAACAAGATATCATCCCATATCCCTTTTTATCTAAAAATAAAAAGTTATAACTAATATAAGAAAATCTATGTACAATAAGTACAATAACTATGTACAATATACACAGGCAATAACTGCCAACAATGTCTAGTCCATCAGCATTTGACAAATTCAGAAAAAATACTCCATTAACTATCCTATCTTGGTGAGTGAGTTCAAATTATTCTAACTAATTTCCTTTTTATTCTAATTTGCATTATCAAATTATCTTTTATTGTTTCTCAACCTTTTACACTTTACACATCTTCAGTGAGTTTCTTTTCTGAGTCTGGTAAACAATGAAAACTGTAACTATACTATCTAAATCATGGGATGTCCTTCTATATGCTGTAAATAAATGTTTCTCTTATTGGTTAATGAATAAAGACATTTTGGCCAATGGAAAGGCAGAATTTAGCTAGGTTGGAACTGTGAACAAAGAGGCAGGAAAAGAAAGACAAAGGAGAGACACCATGCACCAGCCTTGGAGTCAAGAGACCCAGTCATCACCAGTAAGCCATGGCCACCTGGAGATACACATATTAATACAAATGGGCTAATAATTAAGAGAAAGCTAGCCAGAAAGAATCCTAAGCCATTGGCTAAATAATTGTAACTTATACTAAGTCTCAGAGTGGTCATTTCATTAAGTAGCTGTGGGCCCTGGGGGTAGAGAGAAAACCTGTCCAGTGGGAATGAAATTGGAGAAAATCTCCCTCAACATAGTTCTATATGAATCATATTATTTATCTTGATTTAATTTTGTGTGTGGTACCTATCAAGAAATCTGTCTATTTCTTTTAAATTTTGTGGAGTACAAATTTTTGAAGTATGACCTTATGATTCTCTGTATTTCCTGGGTGTCTGTTGTTCTGTCCCCCTTTTCAATTCTGATTTTGTTAATTTAGATATTCTAGCTCTGCCTTTCAGTTACTTTGGATAAGGGTTTGTTTATCTTATTGATTTTTCTCAAAAACACCAACTATTTTTTTCGTTGATTCTTTGTCTTGTTCTCTTAGTTTCTATTTTACTAATTTCATCCCTCAGTTTTATTATTTCCTGTTGTCTACTCTTGGGTGTGTTTGCATCTTTTTGTTCTAGAGCTTTCAAGTGCTTACTGGCAGTGATAGAAAGCTAAGGATGAAGGAAAACTAGCAATCTGACCAACCCAGCTACCACCCAGGGCCAGAAACAGGGCTATGATTTGGCCTGCTCCAAAATCCACTGAATCTATGAACCCTTTGGAGCATATGAAGTGGACAAACTGCACCTATAGATAGAAAACAACAGGATCTCCATGACACAGGATGATAACAGGGTATCCAAGAGGACCCCCAGTGAAAGCCCATTATCAGTGATATGGCAGAAACCAGTGGCCTCCTGACCAGACAAAGGACTCTTGATAATGAACATTTTGCAAGTAAAGATGAACAGACCAAAGGGCAAACAAACTGTGTCACAATACAGCTTCCATGACAAGATTCTTCCTTTTTGTTTTGTTTCTTTGTTTTGTTTGGCTTTTGCTTTTCCTTTTAAATTTGGTTTTGTTTTGGGGGAGACACTGCAACAGCTGAGAGCAGATTCGAAGGGACAGGGAGATAAGTGGGATCAGAATGCACAATATGAAATTTACAAAGAATCAATGAAGGTTAAAAAAAGCTGTTTGCTGTCTAGTTTTTGTTTGTTTGACATTACAACACTGCTTTATATTTTCTACCTTAGTTATTATCTCCAATTTGAAGAAATAGTTTTCATTACCAAATTTTAATAGTTGCAACAAATAAAACTCGCTACCAGTCTCTCTAAAACTTTACTGAGAAGCAGATATGTCTCCATTATACTACTAAGTAGGCATCAGCAGAAGAGTAGAAGTTTGGGAAGCTTAAAGATACTGAGTCTCTAAAGAGACCCCTCCTTGTCCTCACAAGGACCTGTATGACTCTTTAGAGATCCTAGAAATCCAAGTGGAATTTGTTCATTTTACCATGTCACTTTCTTCCTTCTGCTTTATATAGATCTGTTTTATGCCTTGGAACATTTGTGAACTTTTTAGATTTGTTTTATTATTTTATGTGAATGAGTTTTTGGTGTCTGTGGAAGTACGACCATTCTAAGCGACCGTGTAGGTGACTGAACCTGGGTCCTCTAGAAGAGCAACAGGTGCCAACTCTCCAGCCCCTTGGTTCAGCTTTATAGGAATGAATCATAAGAAAGAGGAAAAAAGAGAAGAAAAGGAAAAAAGAAACAGAAGGAGAAAGGTGTGTGTGTATGTTTGTGTGTGTCTGTGTGTGTATGTGTATGTATGCGTGTGTGTGTGTGTGTGTGTGTGTGTGTGTGTGTGTGTGTGTGTGTGTGTTTGCCTCTACTAGTTGAACTTAATGCCAATAATATGTGCATTCACCATACTTAACAGGAAAAGTTAAGTTTAGTCCAAGGTTTGTTGGCTTTCTAAGATGAGATAACTCCAAGTGCTTAACACACACCAGATAACACACAGCGTACTTCAGGCCATGTAAAAATAAAGAAACTACTAGGGGATGGCCAATAGTGTTAACTCTTTCCCATGTAAAAATAAAGAAACTTCTAGGGGATGGCCAATAGTGTTAACTGTTTCAATGCTGTCACAACTGACACAAGAGAAAACAGAGGGAAGGGGCAGGGTTTTTCTTTTTTCTTAAGAAAAGAACAAAAGAGGAAACAAAGCTATAGGGAAAAAAATGAAGCAAAACTACAGGATTTCTTTATATTCCCAAAATTTGGTACTTTTATCATGCTGGGCTGTGAAGAGCTTTGTGAATGTGTTCCCATAGTCTCCTTAGGGCGGCTTGCCATGGACACTGACTCCCTTGTGATAATGGGTAAAGAGACTACCTAGTCAGAGAGAAATTAAGTTGATCTAAAAGTTACACAAAGGAGAGAGATGATGTAAACAGATTAGAGTTAGTTATGTTTTCAGAAGAGAGAAAAAATGTTTGCTGAAATTCAGAGAAAAGATTCACAGACTGAGGAATTATGGGTACTTGGAAGTCTAGCAAAGAAAGTAGATTTCAGGCTGCTTGTGTATGTGAGTTATGATATAATTTGCTTTGAGGTTTATTTGAGAAATTTCACTTAAGCTACAACTAGATTTTCAGTGCCCTGTAGACTTCAAACTGACAGTGTCTATAATGTAACTTTTGTTGTATGCAATGTTGAAACATTCTGCTTTGGCGGGAAGTTCATTCAAAAGACTCAGGAAGTCTTAATGTGGGAAATTACCAATGCGGAGCCAGGTAAAAACACAAGGGAATTTAATAGGGAAAAGCCTTACTTACAGAGTG